TAAAACTGCTATTTAGTCAAATTGCTTATCTAACGACTGAGGAAAACAAGAACCTGCAATTCCCTCCTCAAAATAAACAGTGAATTGGACTACTGCCCCCCAAACTTCAGCTGAAGAATACAGCAGATTGCTAATCAGTCTTCCAAATCAAATCTTTCTTCTTCTTCTTCTTCTTCTTTTTAATGGCATGAACACAGAGCTTTTTTTTTTTTAAGGGGCATGTTATGAAGAATGAACAGCACTTGCATACATTCAGGCACACTTAATTAGGCCAAATTCTATAACAGGGGAGTGAGGAGGGAGAGGAAAGGATTCAGGAACACTTGTTTTCTTTACATCCGACCATATTAAACCACTGGTTTAAATAACTCCAATATAACTCTGATATATCAGATTTCTCTTCAGACAAGTATTAGTACCTACCAAAAGCAGAAGACTCTCAATCTCTGCTCTCTGCCACACCCCACACCAATCACTGGGGAAGTAACGTAGAAAAGCAATGGCAGATGGCCTCTCCCACACTCCCTGCAAAAGACTAAATGCAGGCACAAGCCTTGCCCACAAATTAGCCTGTAGTGAATTGACAGATATATTGCAGTTCAGTCTTCCAAAAGATCAAAAATCTGATACTTCAAGGGGGGGAAGGAGTACTATCAAATGTTTCTCAGGAAAGAAAACCTTTCCCAGAAGTCTATGCTCCCTGTCCTACTAATTTTGGCTTGCTCTACACATGACACACTATTGGGATTTTAGGCTGAACTGGGCTTTTCAGAGGTTCGGAGCTGCCTCAATTCCAAATATCAGAAATTAGTTTGAAGGCCAGGCTAGGGCGTTGTTAGGGCTTCAAAGTCAGCGCTGTTTCTTTGAGAGATATACTAACAAAATGTGCTGCATTTTGGTTTTCCTGAGGTTGGAACTGCAAGGTTGCAACCCATAGATCCTCCCAAAATCTTTAAAAATTCTGAGGCAGTGGCTGAGCATCCTGTTCTGTTCCTCCACCATCTTCCCCCATCACCTATAGCCAGCAGATAGGAAACAGGTTGTGCAATGGGACATGTGGAGGTGATGGAGTGGAAGGCTCAGAGGCAACACCCTCTCTCTCTCCATGCCGGGTACACTTGCCCTGGGCCTCACCAGGGACCAGATGCTTTTTTGTTTGAGTTTATAATTTTATCCTAACAAGACTCCCACCCTGGGCCTCAGACAAGCTCTGCACAGGTTGCCCTCAATCACTGGAAATCTACTTCATCGACTTCTTCTGCTTCTGAGATTTTAGCAGCTCAAGCCTAACCTCATAACCATAAAGCTTAGAGGCTTGCTTTTTCCTTTTATAAATCTAAATTAAGACTGTTTGGAAGCTGAACTTCCATTCACTTTCTGTGTACTTGCAAGATCACAACACACAACCCTGAGTGTAATGTAGCTTCATTTATGTTCCGTCCCAGTAATACCTACAGCATGAAGGGTTAGAATTAAGAGCAAAGATGCAGCAGAGCAAGAGGAAAAAGGTAACAATTCCTGTGATCAACAGACAGGTGCTGCCAGGATTACAGAGGCTGATAGTGGAGCACAGAACATTACAATATATGCGGAAAGAAACACCCAATAGTGGACTCTTACCATGGAAAGGCTTAGTCAGTCTAGAGAAACTGAGATCAGCCATCTTGGAAAAGGTGTAGGAGGTCGTGCTGCTACTTTGCTTCTCCAAAATATTTGCCTCTCAGAGACCAGCTGTCTTGCAGTCCAGCAATACATTAAGGGATTACCAGCTGAACTGAGGAAGGCCGCTACCTTGCCTTGTGAAGGGTGATGAAAACTAGGAGTCAGCACTTGTGGCTTAATCCTCAAAAATTAACCAGGTAGGTGAATGAGGATCTTATTTAAACCTTTTTCCTGGGTAGCCTCACTACTTCAGATACCTTTACCTCCAGCAACACAATGCCTTGCCTAACTGCTGTGGGCCTTATTTTCTCTTTCCTGACAGCTGGTCTCACAGATGGTGTCAAAAAATGCCCTTTCCAAACCAGCCCAGGGTCTGAACATTTCCTAATTGTCCAAACACTCAACCAAGATGTTACTCCTTTAAGTTATTACAAGTCAATTAACTGCAAGAGCTTTCACCAACATTTTTTGTTTTCTTATTGACATATGTAGTTGCCTTGCTTTGCACAAGCAAATGATTCTCCTGCTGTCTTCTCTCGCTCTCACACACAACACACTCAATTTCACTTATCCACATGCATTACGTCAATCCTAAATTTAGATTACAAGCTTTTTAGTGCAGGGACTGTGTCTCTTTATACCTTCTGTGATGTGCCTAGCGCACCTTTGGGTGCTATTAAATAAAAAACAACAAAACAGGCTTTGATACTAAAACACAGAATGTATAAAGACACAAACCTGATGGCGCATAGCTGGCATATGCAAATACATTGCTTCTATCTCTGAAGTTCTACATTATTAAAAAGCTCATTTTAAATTGGAAAGAATGAAATTAAAAATTACTACTTTAGAAGCACGCACCATGCATGCTAACATCATTTAATAAGAAGCAACAGTTACTAGGCTTGCAACAGGGTGACTTTCCTGCTTGGTAGCCAGGTATTAATCCACAGATAGCAAGATATTGGCCTCATTCGGACATATAATTCATGGGTTTGTTATATCATAGTGTAGGAGCTGGGAGTGAGGCAACCACACACTCCCTCTGCACTTACCGTATTTTTCGCTCTATAAGACGCACTTTTCCCCTCCTAAAAAGTAAGGGGAAGTGTGTGTGTGTGTGTGTGTGTGTGTGTGTGTGTTATGGAGCGAATGCAGGCGGGAGGCTTTGCTCAGCGCTCCCTTTAAAGAGCCACGTGGAGCGTGTGTACGGCTCTTGGGGGCTTTTCCCTGAGGAGGGAGAAGGGCAGCCCATGATACACACACTCCATGCAGCTCTTTAAAGGGACCGCGGCTCTTGGGGGAGCCTTCCTCCCACTGCTTGGCGATTCCTGGCTTGTGGGATAGAAATGCGCAGCCTCTCCCAGGCATCGGGATGAAGGCTCACCCTGCTCAGAAGAGGCTGCGCAGCGATCCTGCTTGCTGTCCTGGTTTATGGGATAGCCGCACGCAGCCTCTTGAGGGCAGGGGGAGCCTTCATCCCGCTGCCCTGAAGGGGCTTTGCGCGGCTATCCCAGAAGCCAGATCCCTCTTGCTGTTCTGGCTTCTAGGATTCAGAATATTTTTTTTCTTGTTTTCCTCCTCCAAAAACTAGGTGCATCTTATGGTCTGGTGAGTCTTATAGAGCGAAAAATATACGGTGCCTCCTTGCTTAATTAAACCGCTGTTAACATTTACATCAGAACAGGAAACTGTGGTTTAAGTCTGGTTACAAGTTCTCCATTTTGGATGTAATGCATAACTGTGGTTTACTTAAAGCAGGAAGTAAGTGCTGAAGGTGTAGGGACGGAAGAGACAAGAAGAGAGTGTGGAGTCCTGTTGGTTGTTCCTGGCTGCTAAGCTATGATTTAACAAGCCATGGTTTAGCAAATCAGTGACAGAAGCATGTGCTTTGCATGCAGAAGGTCCCAGTTTCAACCCACAGCATCTCTAGGTAGGGCTGGGCAGTACTTCCTGCCTGAAACCTTGGACAGAAAATACAGAACTAGATGGACCAATGGTTTGAGCCAGTATAAGTCAGCTTCCTATATTCCTAACTGTATGTCTGAACAAGACATGGCTTGACAATCTGACAGTTCTACATCTGTGACTGTCAAAAATGCAATAAAAGGGTTTCATTGTGTGATTACCTGACTTTCCTCCAGATATATCTTCCACAACCAAAAGTATACCTGTGTACTTTCAAATCCCAGCAACCCTCCCTGGACAAACTGGGAGAGGGTGCATAGTTTGTCATAAAGTCATTATCTTACTGCTCTGTAACTGCTGCTTTCCTTGTGCAATTGTTAGGGGACACTGACTTTGGAAGAGAGGTTTTATTCCCTCTTTCACCTTTAGCCACTTGCACCTCTAAAAATCTACTCTAAAGGATTGGGGAACCCTCCAGAACAATTGCAGAGCAGGGCAGTCGTCTAAAATTGCCTGCCTCTTGAGCAACTGTGATACTTCATTAGACTGAGAGCCTTCAGTGAACAGAAGGTGAACCTACAATTCAAGACAAGTGTCTGTGGGTGACGACTGGTGAGGGGAGCTTGGCAGCTGCTATGGATTCTGTGGAAATGTTTGCAACTGTTCTTGCATTTTTCTTCTTTCAACAGTAAGAGGGGGGAAAGTGGGTCAGTGCAAGCAGTACTTGGCCATCCTGGTCACAATATTCACCTGTAATTTTTACAAACAATTCTAACAAAAACACTCCCTCCTTTAAGAAAAGTTTTAGAACAGACCAGTCTAATGCATTTTGTAACAGGCTGCTGTGGATACTTCAAAGAGGCATGTAACAGCTTTTGCACCTCCCAACCATCTAAACTGTACTATCAAGGATTCATTCCCCTCCAGATACTGGTAAATAATTATTGCTATTCTTATTCTGCATGAAATGTTGTTTAAGCTTATGAGATGGACAGAGAAAAATGGAAGGAGAAAACTACTAGAAGCACTTGGGTCTCATTGTTGGTAGATTGCATAACAGATGCCTATGACTGTGCCCAGCAGGATCACATTAATTGACCAATTTACACCTGCCAGGGGGAAGCCAGCAATGTATTTAGCAGAGAGGGAAGAGCCACCCACTCCTGCATCATTTATGGATAGTAGATTTTTACCCTTGGGCCTGAATTTAAAATGAATGCCAATGAAAGGGGGCCTTCTGTCTCAGGAAGTCAGTATCACCCATTCTTGGCAGAAACAGTGCTGTTGTCATTATCAGGTTATTTAATTGTGGCTATTACAAGATTGTGCAATCAAACCCAGCACTTTAAATGTGTAAATAAGTATACCTTTTCTTCAAGAATATAACTAGCGAATACCTCACAACTTGTGATTTTCTATTTTATTTTTTTGGATTCTCTGCTTTACACAGGAGCATATATCAACTGCATAATTGCATATATCCTCATCCTGACCCAGCAAAATATTCACTGTAAAATCTTGACTTAAAGATAAAGGTAAAGGTAAAAGTACCCAGACCGTTAGGTCCAGTCGCAGATGACTCTGGGGTTGCGGCGCTCATCTCGCTTTACTGGCCGAGGGAACTGGCATACAGCTTCCGCTGGTCAGCATGACTAAGCCGCTTCTGGCGAACCAGAGCAGTGCATGGAAACACCGTTTACCTTTCCGCCAGAGCGGTACCCATTTATCTACTTGCACTTGACGTGCTTTCGAACTGCTAGGTTGGCAGGAGCTGGGACCGAACAACAGGAGCTCACCCTGTTGCGGGGATTCAAACCGCCGACCTTCCGATTGGCAAGCCCTAGGCTCTGTGGTTTAGACCACAGCGCCACCCACAACCCTAATCTTGACTTAGCACTCCTCAAAACTGTGCTAATGCTACTTCTAGAGCAGGGGTAGCCAACGTGGTGTGCTCCAGATCTTAATGGACTACAACTCTCATAATCTTCAATTATCATGGCTAATGGTCAGAGATGTTGAAACACTAAGTAACAAAAATTAATGGCACCACTTTGGATATGCTTCCTCTAGAATATAGACAACCTTACATACATCCTCATCTTGATAGCTTAGCCACCATGTTTCATGTGCTGGTAATCTCATGACTGGACTACTGTGGGGCTTCCCTTGGGGTTGGTACTGAAGCTGGTGCAGAATGATGTGGACAGCTTTCCGAGTGGAGCAGCTGGATGTGAACATGTTACGCCTGTGCTGAAAGAACTGTACTGGCTGCTGATCAGCTGCTGGGCTGTGTTCAAGGTCTGGCGGTTAACATATAAAGCCCTGGACAACTCAGGACCGGGATACTTGGAAAAACTGCCTGTAAGATCACTTAGAACATATGGGGGAAATGTTTTCATGGTACAGCACCCTACAAAACATCATAGGGCAGGGAACAGATTATGAGCATTTTCTGAATGCCCTTCCTTCTGTCTTATGTGAAGTAGCTACCATCAATTGTTTCAGGCATTTTGTAAAGACTTTCCCCACCCCCACTCCAGGCTTTCCCTGAACCATAAGATTAGATCCTTTTTTTATGTGTTTCAATTCCATGAATTCCTGTTTTTATTTGTTCTTACATGCTTCTACACTACTGTTTTATGGGTGTTATATTGTACATCATTTAGAGATTTAAATATATGGGGGGGGAGGTTAACAGATGCTTTTAAATGAATAAACAAACCTCACAAATAAAATGAGAATCCTTTCCTCACAAACACTGCAGACCTAGAAAGAACCAATTGGAGTGTTACATATATCCAAAGCCTGATCAGGTGCAGTGGCTGAATTACCGTATTTTTCGCTCTATAACACGCACCAGACCATAACACGCACATAGTTTTTAGAGGAGGAAAACAAGAAAAAAATATTCTAAACGAAATAGTGGATATATGATTTTTGTGGTTCATGCTGTGGCCACAGACATGTGATCTGACAGTGAGTTTGGAGTAGCCCAATGCAAAAATCCTGAGGATCCATGTGGATCCATGCTTTGTAACCACGGAGGAGAGAAGGAAGGGGAACCATGGATCCTCTGCTCATGACTGCAGCAGATCCCCCCTGCCACCCGCAGGCATTCACTCCATAACACGCACAGACATTTCCCCTTACTTTCTAGGAGGAAAAAGTGAGTGTTATGGTGCAAAAAATACGGTAACACAATCCGCCTCCACTTCATGTGATCCTTAAATGAAACCTGGATGGGTGACTAGCTTACCATAACAGAAAACTAATGCGAGCTTCACTGCACCAGTTACACTGGCATGTTTGTTGACCTACTTCTCAAGAATCTAGAAACTGACATGTGCCTTTTTCACAGCTTTGACATTCAGAGTGATCAAGGTCCTTACAAATTCTAACTGACCAAAACTTCTATTTTTTCTACTGTATTCTATTTTTTGCAATTTTGAATACCATTTTGAAATGTGATTCTAAATTTTGTTAGTTTTTCCATTTTCACAATTTCTTGTCAAATATTTTAGATTATCATACAACCATGGGGAATAAATTTAGTTAAAATCAGTATTTTTTCATAGTATTTATAATTAAAAAAAGAGAAGTGCTTCATTGGCTAGAAGGATTGCATTTCCAAACTACGAAGAATGTTTCTATTAAGCTACTCAACAAAAATGACTAGTTCCAGTGTGAATACTAGGATGTTCAGCTCAGCCACCATGCTCAATTTAGCATCACTAGTGTCAGCACATTCACCTGATATATACACTTAGACTATATGGCTCCAAGTTAAAGCAATGTATTTCAGCCTGAAGCAGAGGTGTGCCCTAAATCTAGTAAATTAATCCTATTAGTTCCCATGTCACTTGAGCAGAGACTGGTTACATCAGCGACAATCAAGTCCCTTAAGGGACAGTAAGGAGAACTTGTTTCTTGCCTGAAAACTGCAATAATTAGGAAGTGATGGATGTGACTAGTAGAAGTGAATGATGTTTCCCAGGACCACTCTCATCTGTAACCATACTGGTTTCAGATAAAATAACCCCTTCTGACAGGCTATGTCAGGAACATCTACAGCCAATCAGTCACACTGCTATCCAACAAAAGGTAATGGCATCCTTGTCATAACATCTATGGATTAAGTCATCAAAATCAGTTTCTGGTGCACTTTATCAATTAAAAAACTGGATTGATATAGTATCAATGGATAACACACACTGACAAAAACAAATAAGCTACAAAAACGGAAATAAAATTGGAACCATTTCGGGGGAATGAATCAGTATTTTCTATATAGAGGAAGCTCAACTGCATGCCTATTCAGTGTAAAAAGCAAAACAGAACTGGGGGTGGGATTTAAATTTCACACTACTAATTTTAAGATTTTACGTGCATTGTATATGAGAAGGGAATGCTACGCAGTACAATGAACTCAAGACCGCAAAGACAATCTTAAATCTCCTTAGGCACTATCTGCATGAATTCTCCGATTCCAAAGCACTGTGTTCCACTGAACAGGAAGTCAGCCTCCAAACACTAGCTGCGGAAACTAATTCCTACAGATGGTTGTAGCTATAAGAAAAGATGGTCTTAATATTAACCACACCTCACACCTCTCACTGAGACGCCCTCATTAGTGTAATGGAACTGGTTGAAAAAAGGGCATCCTTATGATTAAAAAAAGAGGACAGACAACTGAGACACATAATTGCTCTTTCAGAATGGCCAATCCAGTCCCCTGTCAAATACCAGTTACATTTTTAGGTAATTAAAAAGGACCTGGAAAGACCCCTACTCTAAACTCTTCAGTATTGTGTGTCAGCAAAAGCTTTTTTGAGAAACAAAATTTAATTTAATTGTTGATATAGTTCACAAAAGAGTAACTGCCTTTGGTAAAGCAGAGATTACTACATCCAGAAGCCTCATTATGAAACCTTCGAAGTGCTTTGAAATTTCATCCTCAGTAAGATTCATTCTTGAGCTTTAAACACTGCCTATGCATATTAATATTTAACCACTGCACATAATGTATTGTGTTTCACTGCATCCATTACAGGCCATTCCTTCAGCAAGATGCTCCTTCTTGCAACTGATATGTTGGACTGAAAGATTTATGGAGCTCCATTTATATATGTCTTGTATTTACTGCACTGTCCATTGCGGGTTATGCACCAGAACAAGCTACAGAAGGTTCTAGTACTGAAGCAAATGTAGTATGTGTAGATCTAACAGGAGTAACACCAAACAAAAAGTCTGCAATGAGACAGCATCTTTCTGATTGCAAGTTATAAATATAAATTTATGCAAGAAACTTTCAACTTTTCCACTGCAGTACAAATTTGCATTAGAACCATCCACACAGTCTAATGAAAGGTACCTAACATAAGTCATTTGAGGAACCCGAAGGATTTCTGGATGCAAGTGCAGATGATACATGTTATATGGGTTAAAAATGCTTTGATTCAACTGTATTTTAGATGTGGTAAGAGGTTAAGCTACCAGCTCAGAAAACACACACAGCCATGGTATTTTTTAATGATGCCCACTCTCTTCAAGCAATCCAATCCAATAGATGGGAAAGGAACTCATTAACATTTACTGTGGCAACAGTGGCTGTGTCATGACATCACACATGGCCTTTCGGAAAGCACTTATGTGTCGCAAAGGAAAAGATAAGAAAACATTTAAAAAGGATAAAGCTGTAGAGAAGACGCAAACAGACTCAGATACAAGCCTATTCTTAACAAAAGACGTTTGTAAGAAAACTACCTATGACCTCTGGAGGTTTTTTTCTTGCCTTTACTAAATTACTGGGTACAGAAGTATTGGAAGCAGCTCTTAAGTGTTAGGCTTTGGAGGTACAGTGGTACCTCGGGTTACATACGCTTCAGGTTACCGACTCCGCTAACCCAGAAATATTACCTCGGGTTAAGAACTTTGCTTCAGGATGAGAACAGAAATTGTGTGGCGGCAGCGCAGCAGCAGGAGGCCCCATTAGCTAAAGTGGTGCTTCAGGTTAAGAACAGTTTCAGGTTAAGAACGGACCTCCGGAACGAATTAAGTACTTAACCCGAGGTACCACTGTAACTGAAATGTTGCTTTCTGACTCTCAGAGCTTTATATAGTAACCCTTTTTATGGAAAGTACTGTAGTGTCCTAGCAATAAAGCCCTTACAACTGCCCACTCTGGTAGCATGAAATGAAGAGCAGTATAGAAAAATTTTTTGAAAACAAAAAAATTTCTGAAACACTATCCACAATTAGCCAGAAGCTTTGAAAATGCTTTTATTTTGAAAGAAAAGACAAATCTCATACTTTTGTTTTGTTCCATATGTTACAGCGGCTGGGGGGAGGTGGAATGTTTTCCACGCTTCAGAGTGCTGCCCAAAACTGATTGTGAGTTATCTCCACAGCAAGCAAGATACACAAAATGAATTTCGGAAAGGACAGAGACGGGTGGCGAATAGAAAGTGCAAATCTTGCTTAAGACCAGTTAATTCTTGGGCTAATACAGGCTCATAACAAGCGGATCAAGTCTTAGGACACTGTGCTAGACTTGAAAGGAAATTAAAATTACATTATTCTAAAAAAAAATCCCACCAAGAAATTTTTACCAATATCCAAACTAGTGTTTGAAAACCTATCCTGCAATTCTCTTTTTGAAAAGTAAAACCTGTCCAGTTCCTTCAGTATCTCCTGATATAACCCGGAATGTTACACATATAAAGCTGTCTTAAACCAAGTAATACCATTGGCACGTCTAGCTCAATTCTCTTTCCTGTTACCTGGGGTCTTTCAACTGGATAAGGCAGGGTGAAGCTGGGATCTTCTGCAGCCACTTTACTAATGAGCCCCTTTCCCTATCATCATCATCATCAACAACCATCATCATCATCATCGTTATTCCTGCTTGTTTCTACCATTAAAATATGGCCACACAATACAACTGCAGAGTCAAATCAGAAGTATATACACAAGGTAGTAATAATGCTGTATGTTGCACGCAATTATTCTGTTGGCAACAGCATCACACTGCTCACTTTCATTTAGATTAGGACTCTCTTAAAAATTCCTAAGATGTTCTTAGGAGTGCTGGAGCTTAGCCAGTTTTCTGGATTTCTTTCTTTAAATACTTGACTCTCTCAGTTTGCAGTGCTTTATATTTCTGTTGGATTCAATGTTATTCTTTAATAATTACACAATTGTTCAAGTGCAGCACAACAAATTCAGTTCCAGAGGAAGGCATTGTTCTTGCCACAGTCCACATTCTTGCCACAGTCCCCATCATGACACTGCTTTGAATCCTGAAAGCCCACAGCCTTATATCTTCTGCATAAAGAATTGCATCAATTCTCATCATATATCTAGAAGTGAAACCTGGGTATCTCGCCCCTCTGTCATCTCTTTTTCATATATTCCCCGTTCACTACAAGTTCAAACACAATACTTACTAAGGTGTGAGTCATATTAGAGTGCATTGTTAACTAAACAAAACCAACTCAACTGCAGCTGAGTGCCTCCTCCAAGGAGGCGTCAGCACCCAAAACCTTAATGCATATAGCCTTGTATACATTGAATATTCAATGAATTCCTCAATTGCTTCAGACAGACACACCATGGAGAAGTTATTTCAACCCACTGCCTAAGAGTAGCTGGTAAACGCTATGTGGTGTGAAAGTTAAATTGACAATTATGATGATTCTAAAGTCACCTTTACTGTATAAGCTTCAGGAACCAAAATTAATTTAGTATTTGACAATGACAAAACAAAAACTGCCAAAGCATATACTAATGGAAGAAAGGAAATCAAAAAGGAACAGAGGGCTACTGCTGCCACTCGATTCAGCAAATAAGGTGAAATTTGCACAATCTCAAGCTGCCTGTTAATATTAGTTTTATGAGATATTCAGGTCTTAAAAGCCAATTCCCACTACAGGAAAGCTACAAAAGCATATTCAGAACAAGATGAGCTAAATATGCTGCACTGCATCAACCAATTCCATTGCTTCTAGCATTATATGCAGCACTCCAGTCCTTTCACAATCCCCATCACTAGAAATTAATGATGTTGAGAGTTCAAAGGGTGTTTTGCCAAGGTGCCCAAGTGAATGCTGGGATCAAACGTTGGGATCTGCTGGTGCATAAAAATTGCACCAGCTTACTTTTCACATTATGCCTTTCCAACATAAAGTTTACCTGAAGTCCCAAAAACACAAATATGATATAGTACAGCAGAATTTGCTCAAGCATCACTCCTGCAACAGGCGGTGGGGGTGAGGAAGCAGATTACTATCATGGTTGAGAACCTTCAGATTGTACCAATGACATCTGAAGTAAATGAACCTGCAAAGCCTCTCCACCAGAAAACCAAAGCACAGGATGCACATTTCTTAAAAGGAATGGCTGGAACTCAGGGTGGGCCAGTTGGGTGGTGGTACAGATAGGTTATTTTATACTCTGATGTTAATTGCATTGCTTCAGAATGTAGCAAGCCACCTCAGCTCTTATTCATTCTGGTTGTCACTGGTGTATGTGGATTTTTACACCATAGTCCTGCCCTGATGGCAACGCTACAACTGAGCCGTAATCCCAAGCTCACACAGGCAAAGGAACACTGCTCAGAGTAGCAACAGGCACATAGCCCTCAATTAAGAGGTGACCTACACTACTGTAGCCCAGTTTGCATTTTACTGCAAACTGACATAATATGTACTTACCAAAATGCAGACATCCTCTGAAATTCAGGATTCTCCACATTTTGCAATGCAATTGTAATGCAGCCATCTAACCAAAGATGCGTTCAAAAATGCAAGGATTACATAAAAATGTATGGATTAGGGAAAAACAACATACATAAATACATAATATAGGAGAAAATTGCTTGCAAAAATGTGTATAAGCAAAAGTGCAAACAAAAATATGAATATTCGGGGGAAGTGTACTCAAATATTGGTGGTTTTTTAAAATATATATATAATAAAGAGGTGCAAAAATGCTTGAACTGAATTTAAGGTTGGGGAAATGAGAAACAGAGGAACTAAATCTATAGAGCTACAAGGAAAGTTAAATGATAGGATTTCTTTTTTTACCTCTGTTTTCACCATTAGCCTTTCCCAACACCATTCTAAGAGTGTTTTCTCACCTGACAGACATAGTTTGCAAAGGTAGAGGAGTGATCTAAAAGGCAGGATTAGGAGTCCACTGATGGCCTCTTGCCTAGGAGCAGCCAAAACTCACAACTATTCAATTATTTCTTGTTAAGAAAACAAGGAGACCATTTCAGAAGTTACACAGCTACCAAATTTTACAAAACCTACTCTGAATTCAGCTAATCTAGGTTATGGTTTATCTTCAGGGACTTGTTTGTAAAACTCTTTCTTCTGACATATCTAACCTGACAAGATTGAAATAACTTGTATTTGAAAGAACACCCCCATTTGCTTTCTCCCCTTCATCTGCATTGCAAGATTGTTTATAATGAAGTCATTTCTTTCCCCCCCAAAAAATCAAATCAAATTGATTTTATTGAAGAAATGATTTTTTTAAGAGCCCCTACAGATAAACTATGACCCAGAAAGCTGCTTTTCAACTGAGTTGGAAAAGAGTCACTTTAAAAGATGTTGCTGCATGCCACTCACCCCCACCCCACAAAAAAACACATTCCACAGGCAAGGCTTACCTGCTTCCAGCTTTTAAAAAACAAAAAAAGGTTTGCACACACAAAAAACACAAATACAGTCCATGTTGTAAAAATGGTTTCCCAGAGCTATCATACCCTTATTTGGGGGGGGGGGGTCTTTTCCAAGGAAAACTTACTCACCTTAGCTCACAAAACATTTATTAACATCAAGACCATGCACAAGTAATACACATAAAATGTTAAATTACAAAGGACACCCTGATAACTCACTGTACTGCCACAACGTTTTCTAAATATGTGCTGTACATGTTTCCCTCCTCAAGGGCATTGCCTAGGCCCTCAACAATCAGAGGGTGATATCAGCAGAGGGCTCATGACTAGTTATTTAACCACTATCAGATAATGAGTTAGGGAAATATTACACTTGTCAGAGATATGTCAGGACATTCCAATCTCTCTTTGACTTTTCTAAGCTTCTTGTCCTTGATTATAGTACAACCAACTGGTAGAGATCTCTCTTCTTTTCATATAGCTTTCTTTTTATGTTGCCAACATGCTCAAAAACCAAGTCTACTTAAGTATATTTCAAGCTACTGTATAAGTATTGTACAAACACATCTCAGCGTCTTGGTCAAATGTTCTTAAATGGTGATATCCAATTTAAAGATCTTTTGTACTCCGTGAATAGTAGCCACCACAACCTGCAACTTGATAAACTGCTATGGTCATTTAACAACAATTATTTTGTTTAATTTTAAGGTAACATCATAACCAGATAAAACAAGTCTCACCCACAATAAGCATCACAAAGTACACTAAGCTAAACATTGTCTAATGCATGTATTTTACCAGGTCCTAAATTTAAATGATGGCATGAAATGCTCCCATTTCAGTGTAATCACATTTAATATTGTGCTGCTTAACAAGAGTGTCCAGTGCAATAAAAATATGAGTTACACCCAAAATGGCTAATTGTCAGGAACAATGGGAGTTGCGACTTCTTTCACATGTCAAGACCACACATTACCTACTCACTTCCCCTGTGCTTGCTTTACTAATAAACCATTAATTAATTGGGTTGCCACCATCCCAGGTCCTTATGGTACATGCAGAAAACCCAGAGGAAGGGAGCAACATTTCCCCTGCCTTCCTGATGGACATCTTCAATAACTTGTGGTTTCTGCCTTCTATGTAGAAGGAAGAGGCAGAGACTATATTCCTTCTTCCCCCAATGAACTACAGACAACTTAGAGGAAAGGAGGGGTGTCTTTCTACCTTTGTGATGTGCTTTTGCAGAACAAACGAACAGCTCAGATGCTTTAAAATTATAGCATAAAAAGACAGAAAACAAATGATTTTTTTAAAAGCAAGAAAGATATCTGGCACTTTATTTCTACCTTGATGCAACTTCAAAGGAGTAAGCCTTCTCTTATTCCCCATCAAAAGGAAGGAACAGAATTTACAAGAAACTCACTTGCATAGGTGTCATACCTCTAGACAGATCCTAATCGGGCAATAAGCACAGTACAGTGGTACCTTGGGTTACAGATGCCTCAGGTTACAGACGCTTCAGGTTACAGACTCCGCTAACCCAGAAATAGTACCTCGGGTTAAGAACTTTGCTTCAGGATGAGAACAGAAATCGTGCAGCGGCGGTGCGGTGGCAGCGGGAGGCCCCATTAGCTAAAGTGGTACCTCAGGTTAAGAACAGTTTCAGGTTAAGAACAGACCTCCAGAATGAATTAAGTTCTTAACCCGAGGTACCACTGTACCAGAACTCGTTCTTCCTGCCAGGGCTCAGCCCAAGAAAATTAAGAGGGCATCCTTTCTTCCTCATCAAATAACTATAACAAGTTTGCAGTAAAAGAGCTCTGCAATAAACCACACAAGAACACTATTTTAAGCAGCGTTGTTTTTCAAATGGAGCTAGTATTCGGCTAGTATTCACACAAACCTATGCAGACTTTAGTACTTACTAGCAAACAGAAATGCTGAACTGACTGATGAGTTATTGCCAATTAGATGTGAAAAAGAGTAAAACCAGTAAATATTGCAACCGCCAAACCCA